AATCATAATCTGTCCCATTATACACCGAAATAATTTTCCCACGGTTAGAATTCAAGCATTTCTTAATCATATTACCAATGAACTTCATATATGTCAATTCTTGTCTGAATTTTTGATAAAAATCTTGTTTTAGTATTTTTTTTTCTATATTTAATATTTTTCTGTTTTTTTATTTTTTTATTTTTTTTTTCATATTTTCTCATAAATTAGAACTCTCTCTCGTAAATGTCAACAATGGAATAATTTCCTTCTATCTACCATATATACTTTGATACTAATTAGATAAATTATTTGCATTAACATAGGCATTTGTAATTTATATCTATCTACATTGAAATCTAATCGTAATGCAATCGTCATTATATAATTGTTAACTGTTTACACACTGCTTCAAGATATTACGTAATATCATTGGAAAGAGAGTAGTCCACCTTCGATTTCTTAAGTGGTATAAAACACCATCGATTAAAGATACGTTCATTGAAATTAACAAAACAAAAAAACACAACGATTATATATTAATTCTTTTCATTCTATTCATCATTTTAAACATTTATTATTATTATCATTTTTATTTCTTTGTTTTTTTTTTTATTCTTTTAATATAATATTTAAAAGTGGCCTAAAGCCATTTGTCAATTATTATTTTCCGGTTGCACCTGGTTGTTGTACAACTTCATTTTATGTATCAATAAAGCACTTGATTTTGCATATATTCCGAGTGAATATAATAATACTTTATTGTAAATAAAATGAGACAAGAAGATTTTGTATGAACTAAATTATTAGAAGACGCAATTTTGAAAAAGGCTCAAGAATTCTGATGAAGAATCAATAAACTGCTTAAAAATATGTTGAATGCGTTTTGTCAGAAATGAACCGTATCAAATTTTCAATAAGACATCAATGAATGAGAATGAAAAATTTGAAAGTCATGAATTTATTAGCACGTCGGGGGTAGACCAAGAAAATTCGAAAATATTGTATTGACATCACTGTATAAAAATATCAGACAAATTACAACAGCAAAATTCAAGGACATAATTGACCTATTACGATATATACCACTGGARCATCATGATTTCTTCTAATCCCTTTCACACGCACAAAATGTAGATGAGTAGTAAATTGTTTTGTAGGTTATGTTTGTAATTTTGTACGTTGTGTAGTTAAAAAAATGTTTTCAATTGCATAAATTATGTTTCTGAAGTGTTTTAAAGATATGTCAAATAAATTGAGTATTGTTTTGTTTTCAATTTGAAGCATCTTAAATTATGTTGAATGGAGTTAAGTCCCTTGGAAATTTGATAACAAATCAAATTGTTGATATTGACAGTGACCTAATTCCATTCATGGTTAGAAAACGCATATTATTCACTTGATAATTGCTACTATTTTAATAGAAAATATAAATTGAACACCTTCAGATACACTTAAGATTTATAACTAGTTAGTATTACAACCGCTTGTTTACTAGTTCATCTTGTAAAGGAACATATACAAACACAGTTTAAACCTAGTCATTGTTAATTAGACCGGGATACGAATATAACTAGTTAGTATCTAGTACGTATATTTTTTATTGCATTGAAACGAAAACAATAAGAGTTAGGCCATTTTCAAAATAAACGGCTCATTTATACGAACAAAAAAAAAAAAAAGGACAATTTTGGATTAATTTAGCATGATTTCGTTTATTTATTTATTTCTCTTCTTTTTTTCTTATTTCGAAAAAAAATTTTCGAATTTACAATGACTGATTGTTCTTTTGATTACTTTATTATCATTGCTAAGGATTTTTTCTATTCTTATATTTGATATTTTAATTTTTTTTATTTTTAGCAAAGATTAAGTAAAATATCATATGAAAATTTGATTTTTATCGAAAAACACGTCGACTATAATTATCTTTAGTCCGCGCATTGCAATTTTCTATCACGATACAATAGTGATTTATTTCTATACTAGTTACGATAATTATGTGGATGTGTTTTGTATACATGTGGATCTATCCTATCTCTGAAGATAATTATGAATGTACACGTTGTATGATTTAAGAGAATAAATCAGATATATCAACGTGTATGGGGATAATCCCCATGAATGGTATACCCTTTCTGAATTTTTTTTGTTTTGCTTTTAATTCATCTTGTTTAAATCCTTCTTCGTGGGATTTTATAGATTTTGAATAGATTACTTTTTGTTATTATTATTATTATTATTATTATTATTATAATTTTATAAATCAATAATTAAATTTATTGATCAAAATTATTAATAATATTTAGAATAACTTTTCTTTTTTATTTTATCTAGTTTAAATGCTCTTTCGTGTGATTTAATAGATTTCGAAATAAATCACTTTTTGTTGTTATTATTATTATTATTATAAATATTATTGTTATTATTATTATTATTATCTTTAATCAATAATTAAATTTATTCATCATAATAATTTAAATAAGAAGATAAGTATAATTATTTTTCAGATTTTTCAAGATTAATTTGAAAATAATTTTGTAGATATGTTAAAAAACAATCAATAATAATTAAAAAATATATAAGCATAAGCTATACTATAAATAAAATAATATAAATTGAAAATTGACGAACATTGATAAGAAAGAAATTTTGATTTCTTCTAAATTTGAACCTTTGACTTAAAAAAAAAAAAAGAAATTGTTACGTTATTTATGAATTGTTAAGTTCAAAGCTTCTCAATTTACCCAGGGTTTACGTAAAATTATTAAATTAAACTAGTTATATTTATATAAAGTCTAATTATGTATTTATACGTCTTACTCTTCGTAA